AATACTATGCTACATATTGTGCATGATGTCTATGTAAAGCCCCCGATACTTCTCATTGGAGGATAGAAGAGTAACTTAATATGCGTAAACAAATAACAACTATTTGTTTTTATGGTTAACAAAATGCGACCAGAGGTTATATTTGGCATATGCTGGGTAACTTAATACAACTTCTCCAATTTCGTATTTAGTCTTTTTTAAATGTTTTTGGCTTCTCTTTTCAGGTCTGTCCCAGAGCCTCGTCCTGTCTGCATGAAAACTGAACAAAGACGACGTGAGCTCAGAGAGGAAACACAGGGAGAGGTCATGAGCGCAGAGACGGAGGGAGACACGGAGCACTCCTCAGACTACGACGAAGACTACACAGCTCCACTGAGAGGCCAAGCTGCCACTAAGGACAAAGAAGGAACAGTTAAAGAATCTGATGGGAAGAGACCGTGCCCTTTTTGCTCAAAGAAATTTGCAAAGAAGTATTTGAAAACACACATGACTGTTCACACAGGAGAGATAGCATACAGCTGTTCAATCTGCAACAAAGAGTTTTCTGTGAAGGGAAGTCTTCAATTGCACATGAGGACGCACACAGGGGAGAAACCTTACAACTGTTCTGTCTGCACAAAAAGATTTACTCAAAAAGGCCATCTTGCTTCACACATGAGGACACACACCGGTGAAAAACCTTTCAGCTGTTCAATCTGCAAGAAGACTTTTTCTGTAAGGAGAGGTTTAACAATACACATGAGAACACACACAGGAGACAAACCATACAGTTGTTCCATCTGTTCCAAAGCATATACGCAAAAGTGTGGTCTTACAGAGCACATGAGAACACACACCGGTGAAAAGTATTACAGCTGCTGTGTCTGTCAGAAGGGTTTCACGCATTCCTCTAGCTTAAGAAATCACATGAGGACTCACACGGGTGAGAAACCTTACAGCTGCACAATCTGCAAGAAAGATTTTACTTGTTTCACCGGCCTCAAATCTCATGGGAGGACTCACACTGGAGAGAAACCTTACAGGTGTACCGTCTGTATGAAAACATTTGCCCAAAAGGGAAATCTTACAACGCACATGATGCTACACACAGGGGAAAGACCATTCAGCTGCTCTAAATGTGAAAAAGAGTTTAGTCATTCTTCTGACCTTAAATATCACCAAAGAACACACACAGGAGAGAAACCTTACAGCTGTTCGGTCTGTGGCGCACAGTTTACCTTGAGCTCTACTCTGAAAATACACACGAGAAACCACACAGGTGAAAAACCCTACTGTTGCTCAATCTGCAATGCACGCTTTATATCAAACTCCAACATGAATAAACACATGAAGTGCCACATAGAAAATAAACATGATAAACCTTACCGTTGTTCAGCTTGTAATGCTCGTTTTACTTCAAACTCGTCTCGAAAAATTCATATGAGGAACCACACAGGAGAAAAACCTTACAGCTGTTCAGTCTGCAACGCTCGCTTTACCTCAAACTCTAACATGAATAAACACATGAAGTGTCACATAGCAGACAGGCACAGCTGTTCCACGTGCAATCGACAGTTTACTTCAAAAGCGTGTCTAAAAATTCACACGAGGCATCACACAGGAGAAAAACCTTACAGCTGTTCAGTCTGCAACGCACGTTTCACTATGAACTCTACCCTGATACTTCATGTTAGAAATCACACAGGAGCCCAACCTTACAGTTGCTCAGTCTGTAGTGCACATTTTACCATGAATTCTACATTGAGAATTCATATGAGAGGGCATAGAGGAGAGAAACCTTACAGCTGTTCTATCTGTAATAAACAGTTCACCCTAACCTCTACTCTGAAAATCCATATGCAAAATCACACAGGTGAGAGACCTTTCTGTTGTTCAGTCTGTAAGAAAAGATTTATTCAAAAAGCTAGTCTTGTAGTACATGAAAGAACACACACAAGTAATAAGCCTTACAGCTGTTTGGTATGTAGTAGACGGTTCAATACGAATTATGCTCTAAAGATTCATTTGAGAACCCACACGGGCGAGAAACCCCACAGCTGTTCTCTCTGCAATGCAAGCCTTAGCACAAAGTCATCTCTGAAAGTGCACATGAGAACACACACAGGTGAAAGGCCTCATAACTGCTCAACATGTAACGCACACTTCACCACAAGCTCCTCTCTGAAAGTTCATATGAAACGTCACACAGGGAAGAAACCCTACTGTCTGTTCAGTCTGCAAGAAAAGATTTGCCCAAAAGGCTGGTCTTGTCGTACACGAGATGACACACAGGTGAAAAACCTTACAGCTGTTCTGCCTGTAGTGCATGCTTTACCTCCAACATACAGTCTATGCCTCCAACGCGTATCTGAGAACTCATGAGAGAACGCACACAGGAGAAAAACCTTACAGCTGTCCTGTTTGTAATGATCGATTCATATCTAACCTTTCTCTGAAAAGACATGAATTATATCATCTCAGTTGGTGTTGAATGTTTTTGTAACTCATGATGACGGCTTTTCACAATAACGTAAATTCCGTAAAAAAAGAACAACTGTATCCTTGTTCATTCTCAACATGTTCCCTTGTCCTTACGCCTTCACTCACTGACATGGGTTGCAAGCACGCATGTCATTCCACACTGGCTGTTTGAATCCTAACTTGGAGGTGGGTAGCTGACAGCACAGGTCTTTTTTTTGTGAAACATTATTGATAGTTAACCATTATGTTTGTATCCAAACAACTGAATATTACCCATGGGCTAAAACAGGAATATACAGAAATTGTTTTAACTTTCTAAGAAAAATATTCAAAAGTTTATCAATGTAGTTTAACACATTGTGTATGTGAAATAAAAAGTGCAAAATATCTTTTATATTTGGAGTGAACGGAAACAATGTATTTCGAGCAGTAGAAACAAATGACTCGCATCATCAAGTGCAGAAACATCAGTGGGTTTCTCCCATGGACTGTAAATAGTCTCTCCACATTCAAAATGTTCCATGTTGACTGTCTCAACTGAGATAGTTTTGCAAGTAACTTTAGTAATCCATCAGCAATCCATAATACTTAAATGTATTGACTGAGTTACACCAAACACTGTTGCAGTATTATTTTAATCCCAACGTTGTTCACAACAGAGACCGACAAACAAACATCACTCATTTACGGTTCAAGAATCGTCAACAGGGGGCAGCGTGTATTCATGGATCAGGCAGCAGGAAGAAAGATGCCGCTTTCATGTCAACTCGGAAACTCAGACTTTCCGGCTTCCCACTTGGAAAAATGTGAATGAATGCTGCTCAACTCAGTAATTCACCTCGTAAACCCGAGCGGGGTAAATTGTCCTTGAGATTGTTTCACTGTGACACGTTTCAGATGGAAATGTGAAAGAATAAATACTCTCAGAGGGATGTGATTTCTGTCACACTGATAGCGTCACTTCGCTAAATGAGCATAATTAAGACAATGGTTAATTTTAAAAGTCAATTTATGAAATTATGGCCTAGAGAATTATCCAAAAGTAGGCAGTTTTTTTTTTTTTTTATCAAAGGAGACTACTTTCTTTCTCCTGTGAAGCTTTCTGTATATTTCTCATAAACGAGCAAAGAGAATCCAACTACATTTATGAACATTTTGGAATTGTTGTTACCGGTTGCTGGGTTAATATATACAGTCTATGGTTAATATATATACAGTGAAAGCGGGAAGTCGAAAGAATACGTAGATATCTCTTAATTTTCCGAGTTTGCTTTAACGCGGCCAAAGCTCCGAGAGCCCTCTATGCTCTGTAATGACACCTTGTAAGCCCCTCATACATCATTATCCGAAGCAGTGTTTTGTGGTGCACCCCTGTGCTTCCCGGACGGTGTAGAGATGTCGCTCTTAACCAAAGGTAAACTCATGAGTCTGCCCTTTTGTGAAGCAGCAGCGAGGCTAACGCCATTAGCATCACATGCTAGTGTGTTGCTAGGATGGAAGCTGGTGGCTATTGTTAGCGTTAGCATTGTGCTTCCACCGGTCTGTTATCTTACACGTCTGACTCTGTTTTAAATGTTGTCGCATTATTGATTTAAATACCATGTTAGTGTGTGTTGTGCATTAAAAAATGAAACAAATCAACATTTACTTCTGTTTGAATTATTGATGTGATAACCATGTAACAAGAACAACATTAAACCAACAAAATACTAGGCCTTAGCATGGTAACATTCAATCTAATTTAAAGTATTTAAATCCATATAAACTATGAATGTAACACGCTAAAGAAAAAAAAGAAAAAAGTGCTACAAAACAATGAAACCATCTAACACATAGAAAACATGCAATTATTACACCCTTTTTACATTTGTATTTAACAATCACACTCTTACAGTATTACACCCCTGTTATACACTATTACAGAATTATACTCCATTATACTATGCATACAATACACTGGAGTTTCTATTGTAATCAATGGAAACGTTTGAAGATATTTAAAGTACTGCAATACAACTTGCCACTATAATATTTATTCTCTAATTAGATCAAAAACATTCAAAACATAAAATAGAAAAGGCATAACGTAGAAAGCGCCTGAATGAGGTGCTGAATGTGGAGGAAGTCGACCCCGGCTGCATCTGAATTTCTACAAATGCCTCCTCTCTTGTTCTACCTACACTTTTTTAGTGTCTTCATAAGCATTAGATTTGAAGTGAATGATGATGTGACCACACTGTGTGTGTGCACGTTCTCCTGGGAGCTTGTGGTCTTTACATTAGTTTGGCTGTCCCCTTCTCATGTAGGTCAGAATTGAAACAGGAGTTATGTAAGCCAAAATAAATCTAGTGCACATTCGAGCAGAATGTGCAGTAACATTTGTGAAAAAGCTCATAGCCTTCGTCAGGCTGGTCACTAAACTGTGCACTCTGCTTGAACTCTGCTGTGCCACTTTTTAATGGCTTGTGATACCCGACACACACACATCACATAGTCCCATAAGATCCAAATGTGCAAACTCATTTTTTCTCTTTCAATGGTGATCGTAAATGTGTTGTCTTTTTCTTGTCCCTGTAGCTGAGCCCTCTATGAGGCTGAACCAAGCCACATGTCAGACCCAGACTGTGGTTGGAGACCACTGTGTGAAGCAGGAAGCAGAAGAGCTGTGAGAGAGACACACACACATGCACACATAATTCAATAGTTTCTATGTGTGCTCCAGTTACCCTCCAGCTTGGGTCCTGACCAAAAGCACCAACACTGGGAGCTGTGCACTGGTCGCTGCACTAGGGCGACCCCTGCTCCTGAGACAGACCCTTGTGTGTTTGAAGGATGGGTCAAACGCAGAGGAACATTTCCCTTTGGGAAACGACAACCTTGCTGCACAGCTGCAGCTTTAAATCTTAAAACTATATCACATTTCATTAACTATTGATTTTCTAAACATTGATTTTATGTGACCACAGTCCTAATCACCAAGGTCAAATGAATTTATATTGTACATTTACTAATTATAGTTGCACATGTTGTTTTCTTCAGGTTTGTCTGTGTGAAGGTTGAGGAGGAACCAGAGGACAGTGATCAGATGAAGGAGGAACTAGAGGAGAGTGACCAGATGAAGGAGGAACTAGAGGAGACTGACCAGATGAAGGAGGAACCAGAGAAGCAGAGCATCAAACAGGAGCAGCTGCATATGTGAGTCTCAGTTTGACTTTGAAGCCTAATGGGGCGTTCAGACCGGATCCTGCGTTGCGGCGACTTTCAATGAAAAGTGTATTGTGTAGAGGCCTAGGCCCTAGGCCCGAGGACGGGGCTTTGGGCCGATGACCTTATAATTACCTCGGACACGGGCCAGGCTCGGGCACATTTATTTATTCATTTTCAGAGCGGCAGATTACATTTACAATTGCACACCATGAATATATGTAAATTTCTCCTTTGTGAGATCTTATCTTATAGCATTCTATCACACTGTAGTATATTTTGTTCTCTATAGTATTGTCATTGACGACACATAGTGTTACCTTCAAGTGGGTTGTAGTTTATTGCGGCATCTGGGTATCGTACAGCTGTGGCTGTTCACTCCGTACACACGGAACTCATTGCAACACATCACTCCCATGTATAACTCCGCCCTCTATCCGGGCCTGTGTTCATATCAGTGCTCGGCACTATATACTACGCTAAAACATTGTTATGGGAGGTTAAAAAAAAAAGTCTGGCTTGATGCTTGTGAACATATGCCTCCAGCTTGAGTTCTCATTCTCTAGTGACTAAACTAGTGCAGCTAGTGTGTTCGCCAATGCGGAAGTACCGTTAAATAATAAAATAAACTTATGACGCATCTCTGTGAACACATACTTATTGTGACTTATATAAAGTCTCTGCAAGGTCACTGGACACAGACGCTGCATTCTTGGAGAAGAACTTTACACAAAAAGCCGCTAGTTTAACTCCGTTATCATCAAAGACAGACATTCAGACCCTTGTCTGAACACCCCTAGCAACATTTTGGGAATGTGCGTCCACTGCGCGTGGAAGCTACGTTCCAGTGTCGGCGGTCTAAACGCCCCATAACAGAATTAATCGGGATAAAACATCCATGGGTTCCAGAAGATATAATAAAACTCTCTACTTTTATGGGGACACGCAGTGTAAAAAGTAAAAGCATATATTTTTTTAATTAGAACCCCGCAGCTTGATTGGCTGGCCTTTCATTTTGGATTTTCATGGTGACGATGAAACCAAAAAAACAGACCACTATCATACATTTACACTGTGAGCAGAGGATCAGAGGTTAAGGAAAATGAAAAGAATTATTTTGATCAAGACATAATTAAAGGACATTTTCATATTAACTGCTGATTTAAATGTTTCTGCGATTTAGCATAGGTTTCATACAAATTGGGCAACAGTTTTTCCTACACAATCCACTTTACGGGGATTGCTAATGCCAGATGTTACAATTAGCATCTTTGGGTTCAGGGGGGAATAACTTATGTGAAATAATTTACATTTGCATGTTACCAGTAAGTCTGTTTCTTATTTATGTCTCTTTGTGCTCATTCCAAAATAAAGGACATGTATACCTGCTCTTTTAAAAGATATCCATCTGTTGAGAAACCTCAAAATGTTTTAGAGACCTTTATACGGTATTGACCCAATTATTGTGTTTTTATAATCTTATTTCAGGTCTGTTTCTGTGAAGAGGGAAGAGTTTTCTATGCAGATTAAAGAGGAGCAAGAGGAGCAGTGCATCCAACAGGGGGAGCAGCTGCAAGAGTGAGTCTTTCACACGTGTAGTAGTCTGTGTACTCCTATTGCAGTATCAATACACTACTGTAGAGCCTGTTTCAAAACACTACACTGAGCATCAGATGCCCCACGAAGCCCATGCACTCTGGTCTCTGTGCTTGATCATGATCCAGCCAGGGGTCTTAACATCAACTGTAGCACATTGCAGCTGTTTCTTAGTGTGGCTTCTGCTTCACAAACTCACTTACATCTTTACATTGCAGTCGCACACATATTCTAAACACAAAAATGCACTTTTGTTTCAGCTCTGTTCCAGAGTCGAGTCCTGCCTCCGTGAAAACTGAAGAAAGACTAAGTGAGCCCAGAGAGGAAACGCAGAGAGAAGTTATGAGCTCAGAGATGGAGGGAGACACAGAGCATTCTTCTGACAATGACGATGATGAAGACTGGAGAGTTCCGGTCACTGACCAAGCTGCCAATGAGGACACTGATGGGAAACCTTACAGCTGTTCTGACTGTAAAAAAACATTCACCCAAAAGAGTCATCTCAAAACGCACATGAGAACACACACGGGGGAAAAACCATTTCACTGTTCTGTCTGCGAGAAAGATTTCCGCCATAGGTCTGCCCTCAAACAACATCGGAGAACACACACGGGGGAGAAACCGTACGAGTGTTCAGTCTGTAATAAGCAGTTCACCTTGAGCTCGACTCTGAAAAACCACATGAGGATCCACTCTGGAGAAAAACCTCACAGCTGCACATTCTGCAGTGCACAGTTTACCATGAGCTCTGCCCTGAAAAACCACATACGAACACACACTGGCGAGAGACCTTACAGCTGCTCCTTCTGCGATGCGCGCTTTGCCTTAAAGTCCGGTCTGAGGGTTCACCTCCGGAGTCACACGGGGGAGAAGCGATACAGCTGCACAGTCTGCGATGCATGCTTTGCCTCAAACGCCTCGCTGAAGAGACATATGATAAGTCACACTGGAGAGAAACCGTTCAGCTGCTCTCTCTGCGAGTCGCACTTTACCATGAAGTCGGATCTCAAAATCCACATGCGCAGTCACACTGGGGAAAAGCCGCACAGCTGCTCAGTCTGTAATGGTCGCTTCAATAACAGCACAGCTCTAAAGGATCACATGAGACGTCACACCGGGGAGAAACCTTACAGTTGTACGGTGTGTGACACTCACTTTTCTTTAAAGGCGTCTTTGAAAATCCATATGAGGCGGCATGAAGAAGTCAAACCTTACAGCTGTTCGTTCTGTGATAAACAGTTTACACGGAACTATGAGATGAAAATCCACCAACGAGAACACACAGGGGAGAAACCTTACACCTGTACTGTCTGTAACACATGCTTTACCACAAATGCCAATCTGAAAAGTCATGTAAGAATTCACACCGAAGAGCAGCATCTCAGTTGTTCTCTTTGTAACAAGCAATTTACTCTGGAGTCGTCCTTGAAGATTCATATGAGACGTCACACAGGGGAGAAACCCTACAGCTGTACAGTATGTGATAAACATTACACTGTCAAAAATGATCTGAATATCCACATGAGAAGCCACACAGGGGAAAAACCTTACAGTTGCTCTTGTTGTAATACGAGTTTCACCTCAAACTCTGCACTAAAGGTGCATATGAGGAGTCACACCGGCGAAAAACCGTTCAGCTGCCTTATTTGTAACGCGCAGTTCACAACAAACTGTAGTCTGAAAATCCACATGAGAAACCACACTGGAGAGAAGCCTTACACCTGTCAGGTGTGTAACGCCAGTTTTACTTCCAAGCAATCTTTGAACATTCATAAGAGACGTCACTCAGAAGTAAAACCTTACAGCTGTGCATTCTGCAGTAAACAATTCACACGGAACTATGAGCTGAAAATCCACATGAGGGATCACACGGGGGAAAAACCTTACAGCTGCTCTGACTGTGATGCATGCTTTACCACAAATGTCAATCTGAAACAGCACATGAGAAGTCACACCAGAGAACAACCTTACAGCTGTCCGGTCTGCGACTCTCGATTTACTGTCAAGTCGTCTCTAAAAGTTCATATGAGACGTCACACGGGAGAAAAGCCTTACAGCTGCACGGTCTGTGACGCTCGCTTCATCTCAAACTCTGTAATGAACAAACACATGAGGTGCCACATGGGAGACCAAGCGGTTGAGTGATTTAATCAGGTTTAAGAGCACGACACGCTCTCGGTGCTGTGAAATACATTCTCTTTACTGTGGATTACAACTGTGATTTCATCGAGCTGATAGTAGAGCGGCTGTGTTGTTGGTGACTGTCATGGTCCTGGTGGAGAGGACCTTACGTTTCAACATCCTGTGGGCACTTCCTGTTCGACTAATTGTCGTGGTGACTAGAAGACCTAGACTTTTAAAATGTCTATCAACTTATTATGAAGAGATGTGATTTTTGTCAGTGCAAAGCGCCTTAAGTAACACACAAACATATTTATTAACTTTATCCTATAAAGAACCCAACAGTGTCTGGCGCACGTGTATTCCAGTTTTGTGGCTACAATAATAATGTGGTAAAGAAAAAAACCCTGGTGAAACTCTGTATAGCTGTCTTTATTTGAATTGAAAATACTGATACACTTATACATTTCCATATTCTATGTATCTATTGTATGTAAAACACAGGTAAAACAAGTTACATAAAGGTAAGAGAAAAGGGTATGCAAACCTGACTTTTAATAAACAATTGTTATATGCTGTACTTTATACAATATAAGTGTAATATCAATAAAACATCAAACACATGACAATGTAAATTATAGTTTATTTTGTAAAGTTAGCATAACAAAATAAAATCTAAGATTAATTTGAATTGATGACGCAAACGTTGTCATTGCATTGGTGTGTGCCAGCATAGAATACAACAATACTTTAAATAATGTCCATTCAGACACAAAATACATACTCACTCTTAGCTGTATGTGTTTATTTAGACTAAAGTAAAAGGTAATCCCTGAATACTTTGTTTATGTGATCTAGGAAACTCTACTTCCCCTTTGGAAATAATTATCGTAAACCAGTGGGGATGGGTCCCGGCTCAAAAAGGTACATGAGCACTGACATGCTTGCAATGTTACCCAGGGTCTTTGGAGGTGGACCCAGGAAAAAGAATTACCCAATGCTTTTATATGCTGCTGCCTTTCCTCTCGGATACTGCTTTACAGGATGGCCTATCGCTACGCTCCATATAAGTGTCAATGCTGAGGGGAGTATTTCTTTTTTCTTTGGACAAGTTTAGTTTAGCTGCTGTGAATGTTTGGACGCACTTGCGAAGAGCCGACTTTTGGAGCAACTTGCAAAAGCCGTTTTTGAGAGGTAAGAAGATTCGTACACTAACATTGGCTGATTCTTATTGCAGGTCCACCCCCATCGGCCCGGGGTGGTATTGCAAGCATGTCAGCGCACATCATTTTTGAGCTGGGACCTGCCCCCACTGAACTGGATGAAAGAATAAAGACAGCATGTGTTTAATATCACACTGACGGTTTTACTTTTCAAAAAGAAATGTATTTACGGCAAAGCTCATTTTCAAATACGTCACACATCGAAAGACATATACGTGTCGCATCCAAAGACAATCAGAACATATCAGAGTCATAACATGGATACACAATCAGAGTCCTTATAGAGTCTTGGGATTGTCCACCTGCGTAGGGCATAGGGTTTACGTTTATCAAAATGAAAACATTTGTTTTTTATAATTTACATCAGACTCTTTCATCAGCCTTTTACCATAACAGGATGAAATATGTCATCGAAGATCCGCACTTGTTCTACTGGACATGTCTTCCAGTGTTTACATCGATTTTCTATCAAATTTTATTTATTTAAAGTTGAAGTCGAAATTTAAAGTTATTTTTTATAACCTTGGTTCAACTAAGTTTTTGCACTGATCATGTGGAAAGAATATTTCTACTTTTGAACATATATTTCCTGTAAGTGAGGTATAGTCGGTGCTAGATCCATGGTGCTGTCCAGGCTCTGATTTGTTGAAATAAAGAGTTTCAGTTCAGCACGCACGCGCTCAGACGCATCCTTGGGGTATGTTCTGATTGGAGGGTTATCCTCGGTTTAGACCAATCAGCGCGGAGCAAGGTTTATATATATTAACTGCATCCTCTACTGAGCACAGTATAAGTTCTTTAGTCTCAAAGAATATATCACGATGTCTGGACGAGGCAAGGGCGCAGGTAAAGCCAGGGCAAAGGCCAAGACTCGCTCCTCCAGGGCCGGGCTGCAGTTCCCTGTGGGCCGTGTGCACAGGCTGCTGAGGAAGGGTAACTATGCCCAGCGCGTCGGAGCTGGAGCCCCCGTGTATCTGGCGGCGGTGCTCGAGTATCTGACCGCTGAGATTCTGGAGTTGGCCGGTAACGCCGCCAGAGACAACAAGAAGACCCGTATCATCCCCCGCCACCTGCAGCTGGCCGTCCGCAATGACGAGGAGCTCAACAAACTGCTGGGAGGTGTGACCATCGCCCAGGGAGGAGTGCTGCCCAACATCCAGGCAGTGCTGCTGCCCAAGAAGACCGAGAAGGCCAAGTAAAGGCTCTGACCGACTAAAACACAACGGCTCTTTTAAGAGCCACCCACTCTCTCAAAGAGAATAATCTTCTGTTGTGAATATAACTTTTCCTAAACCTGTGTATCCGCTGGTCAAGTACATTTGTTTAGTTTCTTTCTATGACATACGCCCCGTGACAGTATTAAGCTCCATTCTGTGACCTTCACATGAAACGTGATTAGATTGTGACCTAAAGGTACCAATTGTTAAAGGAGATGATTATATGCGAATCACTCAACATTGTTTTAAACACAATAGCGCTCTCCAATGCAGATTGAGAACATGTCAATGATTGTGAGATGGGCCAAGTAGACTGGAAAGGGTAAAACTGGAGGCGGAAATCTGTACACCGTTCGATCCAGTGGAGTAATCAAAACCCAATCATCTGCTATGTACACTTGCATTAATTGAAAATTGAAATATTAAGTCAGTTCATGTAACATTTTCCTAATAAATGTTGTATGTTAGTGTGTATATGGTCCCTATGACTCTGAAGAGCACAGGGACTGGTCTGCTGGTGCCCTTAGTCAGGGCTAAACCTACACATAAAGGTTGGTTAAATGATGAGTGAACATAAACATTGGGAGTGTGAAATTTTTAAGGCAAATGTTCCTGAACTACTGAAGAAACCATCTCCTCTATGAAAAAACGATCTGTTGGGAAACATCTACATTGTATACAAAAATAAAAGTGATAATATCGGCTTGTACTTTCACAGTTTGACTACAAATTACACTGGTCCTGTCTAGTAGAAATCAGAGCTGGGCCAAAGTCTTTATTTTTAATGACAACAATTATAGTTCCTTACGTCCTGTTCGTGTAGAGACATCATTACTGTGACCTCCCTCCCCCCGCACCAGCCTCTCAGAAATAACGGTCAGTCCCTCAGCGGTCTTCAGTCACGTCCGCAGAGGCCTTATAAAATCAGCAGCGCAGCTCTCTCTCCTCATCTGAGTGTTTTACCACAGAACAGTCAAAATGAGCGGACGAGGCAAGGGAGGAAAGGGACTCGGGAAAGGAGGCGCCAAGCGTCACCGCAAAGTTCTCCGTGACAACATCCAGGGCATAACCAAGCCCGCTATCCGCCGTCTGGCTCGCCGCGGCGGTGTTAAACGTATCTCCGGTCTGATCTACGAGGAAACCCGCGGAGTGCTCAAGGTGTTCCTCGAGAACGTGATCCGTGACGCCGTCACCTACACCGAGCACGCCAAGAGGAAGACCGTGACCGCCATGGACGTGGTGTATGCGCTGAAGAGACAGGGCCGCACCCTGTACGGCTTCGGAGGTTAAACACAGGCTCTCACTAACACAACGGCTCTTTTAAGAGCCACCCACTCCCACAAAGAGAATCCACTCCTGTGTAACAAAAAGGAAAGTAATCTCGTGTAAGGTTATTAAATGACTCAACAGACAGTGGTTATGCGGCTTTTGTGAAAAAATATTGACTATGATTTCCAACCACGTAAACTGACTTTTGTAATAAAAACGCTCTTCCAACATTCTTCATGCGACTGTTTGAAATTATGGACTCCTTTCCTTATGCTAAAGATATTTGATTACTTTTTAGAGTATTAACTTGCCTTATGCTCCTTATTCCCACTGTATGCAACTCTGGGACGAATAGAGGATCTCTTAAAAGCACGTCGTGCTTCTGTCCCCTGTTAATACAAAGCGATTTTTTTTATAACTTTGCCCTCACTGTTGGCCCTTATAGGCCAGTGTAATGCGTTTGTTTCCATTTCATTCTGTACAACAGTGAGGGGAGCACGAGACCATTTTAGTTGTATAAATCAGTGTTTTAAACGTAATTTATTGTACTCCATATCTCTAGATATCCCTATAATCCTCTCTAAAGAATGAGGGGGAGAGAAAGCGCCAGAGCGGAGGTCTGACCAATCAGGTGAGAGGAACAGCGCAGCTCTTCTGCATGAGGCGAGTATAAAGAAAGCGGACAGAACGCCTGTCTCTCACTCGTTCGCTTGCAACCGCAGAGAAACATGCCTGAGCCAGCCAAGTCCGCGCCCAAGAAGGGCTCCAAGAAAGCCGTCACCAAGACCGCAGGCAAGGGCGGCAAGAAGAGGAGAAAGAGCAGGAAGGAGAGCTACGCTATCTACGTGTACAAAGTGCTGAAGCAGGTGCACCCCGATACCGGAATCTCCTCCAAGGCCATGAGTATCATGAACTCCTTCGTCAACGACATCTTCGAGCGCATCGGCGGAGAGGCCTCCCGCCTGGCGCACTATAACAAACGCTCCACCATCACTTCCAGGGAGATCCAGACCGCGGTGCGTCTGCTGTTGCCCGGAGAGCTGGCCAAGCACGCCGTGTCTGAGGGCACCAAGGCCGTGACCAAGTACACCAGCTCAAAGTAAACTCTGGTCACTGCAGCAACACAAAGGTCCTTTTCAGGGCCACCCACAAAAGACAAAGGGTCTCTTCTGTGACGTGTATATGAGAATGTTGCGTGCAAACTGTGGCACCGAAAGATTAGCGGTACCCACCCATATTTCTGCATTTCTCTGGCCTTCTGTTTAAGCAGTGGATGACGTCCCATGATACGCTTGTCTCTAGAGTTCAGGATGACAAGGGACACTACAAAACCCACTGTCAGATCTGTGCGGTGAAGGGGTGTTTAATATTTTCCATTTTCAGGTTTTTAACCCTGAAAGAGCATGTTGAAATATTTTGTCTTTGCATCTCTCGCTAAAGATTACGTTTAAAAAAAAAACAGGTTGCATATTTTTGTCTGTATTTCAGTGTCTGATTTCATAATGATTTTCAAATTCAACTGTCTACATTTGCCGATTGGTGAAAAATTCACATGACATAAGGTCATGGGGTTAGGGTTTCAATGGG